TCTTTCCCTGGTCCAGCATGGGGTCCCTCTCATGGGATACAGTCCTTCACAAACTTTCTCCAGCATGAGTCCTTTCCACGTGCTACAGTTCTTCACTAACTGCTCCAGCGTGTGTCCCTGCCACAGAGTCACAGCCTCCTTTGGGTGCAGCCACGTGCTCCAATGTGGGGTCCTCCACGGGCCTCCTGGAGCTGCAGGGGAATGTCCATAGACTGCAGGGGGACAGCCTGCCTCACCATGGTCTTCACCATGGGCTACAGGGGAATCTCTGCTTCAGCACACTTCCTCCTCCTCCTTTCTTCACTGACCTTGGTGTCTGCATTGTTTCTTTCACATTCCACTCCTCTCTCTGCTGCAGGTTCTTTCACTGGCTTCTGAAGAGCTCCTGGCTCTTGGGTTGGGGCTGCAGCCTGACAGGCCCTGCACAGGGCTGGGGCAGCACCAGCCCCCTTAAATATACTACTCACGGAGGTGCTGGCTGGCTCACCTTTGGCCAGAGGCCAGTAGGACTTGGAGCCAGGGAAGCTTCTAGCAGGTTCGCATCCCTATAGCCCTTCCCCTGCTACCAAAGCTCCACCACACGCAAACCCAATACATTAGGTTTTCCCTTTATGGGGCTGAGATATCCCCATCTCATCTTAGAAGACTGTAAAGACATGCTTTTCAATATTTCTGACTTTCTGGTGGTGTGCCCCCCAAAAACAAATACACACCAGATTCATTCGCAGATGTGTTATGAATTCTGTCACAAATCAGCAGACCTTTATTTTCTACTAGATGATTGCACAAGATCAGTACTGGTTTTATCTACATATATGTGTCTTTTCAAGACATGATTTGCAGACAGAATCAGACCAGTTTCTCATCATATCCTACACTTCATTAATACATTGTATGACCATGTTACATCTCAAAGAAAAAAAAGGTGTGTTATTATTGAGCACAAAATTACTCATATATTTAAATCTTTCAACAGCATTCAGATTAGAGTTCTTTCATGACACAGCCAAACTGGTTTACACAGTACCTGGATACTAGAAGGCTACAAGAACGACGGCCTAAAGTTCTAGACTGACAAAGGGCAATTAGAAGTACACAACATTGTAATTGTAAATGGAATATGGTGAGAATGATTAACAGAAGCAGAGTGAGAGGATGATCTGTGATCTGATTTAATATGGAGGTGGTGAAGAGATCAACCTACTTTGCCTAAAAGTAGACAGCTGAGAAGTAAGAAGTCAGTTTCACAAACTACTTAGAAACTTACAAATTTGTTCTTCTTCAAATACTTTCTCATTTGACTCCATTAAATTTTGTGTTTGTTTTGGGGGGCTTTTTAGATTGGCATTTGTTTGTTTTAAACAAAAATCTGAGAGTAAATCTTTAGGTCTCAGCAGGCCTAAAATACTCTGTTTCTCAAATGAGTCCTTACTACCTCTTTGGAGAAGCTTTGCAAAAAAATACACAATGACACGCAAAAATGTTCTGAGGTACAAGCTGAAGGCACAAAACAATGGAATCTGCTGTGCACATCTGGACAGAGTAATAAATAGCTTTTGAACATGCTTGCTTTCTGCTGATATGAGTGGGTGAAGGGGCATACAGTACCCACTGATTTGGGCATAAACCCAGCAAAAAAATGTCGAAAAAAGTCAGTATTAATTTGGTTGTTGTCAGAAAATAGGAGAAGCAAGATATGGCAAAAAGGCACATAGCTGAAACCAGCCTCAGTGATAGCAATTTAAAAAATTGTAGTTCAAATACACAAGGTATTTTCAAAAAGTTGCAAAGGCAAATATTTGCAGGGGTGAAAAACTCACAAAATTATAGGAGGAATCAAGGTTAAAAACAGTGGTATAAAAAAAATAGGAAAGGACATGAACAGAAAAATGTGTAATCAGAGGATAATTGGGCTGGAAAGGACGTCTGTAAGTCTTCTAGTCCAACCTGCTGCTCAAAACTGGTCCAATGAGGGCAGGTTGCACTGACTACCAAGCTGAGTTTTGAGTCTCTCCCAGGATGGAGACCCCACAGCCTCTCTGGACAATCTGTTCCAGTGTTTGACCACCCTCGCAGTATAATTTTTGTTCCATCTTGTCCTTTCACTACACATCTTCAAGAAGAATCTGGCTATGCCTTTTCTACCACCCTCCATTGTAATAGTTGATGGTGACAATGATATCTCCCCTTAGCTTTCATTTCTTCAGGAAAAACAGACCTGTTTCCTTCAGCTTTTCTTTGTCCATCACATGTTCTAGCCCTCTTATCATCTTGGTGGATCTCCACTGGACTTGCTAAAGTACACCATTGTCTATCATGAGGTACTCCAGATGCCATCTCAAAAGTGCAAGACACTGCTGGCTATACATTTGCTAACTCAGCTTGTATGGAGCTCACCTTCAGTGCTGCAAGAGCACACAGCCACAGCTGGTTCACGTTTATGTTCTTCTCCTTCAGCACTCCATGTCTTTTTCTGCAAAGCTACTTTCAAGACATTCAGGCTCCAGTTTATATTATTGCTCAGCGTTATTCCATCCAAGATACAGGATTTTGCATTTGCCTATGTTGAACTTCATGAGGTTCCTTTCAGCCCATTCCTCAGTCCTGTAGAGGTCCTTCTGAATAGCAGTCCTACTACCCAGAATAGCAACCACTTCCCACAGTTTGGTCTGACTTGTAAACCTAAGAGAACATTCTAGCTCATCATCCAGGACAATAAGACTTTAAAATAGTATTGGTCTCAATACCAGTCCCTCAAGCATGTCACTAGTGATAGACTTGCCAGCCGGACTTTGCATTGCCAGTCCCAATCATAGAATCGTAACATCTGAGACAGCTTTCCACACATCTTGTCCACTTATCCAGTGCATATATCACCAATTGAATTATAAGGATACCATGGGAGACTGACAAAGGTTTTGTTAAAGTCAAGATATTAAACATCCACTGCTCTTTCTTTTATTACAGGTCCAGTTATTTCATCTAAGAGGGCAATCAGGTGGATCTGATCAGGCATGTATGATCTCATAAATCCAAGCTTGCTGTTCCAAATCACATTTTCATCCTTCTTGTGCCTGTGAACATCTTCCAGGAAAATTTGTTCAATAACATTCCCAGAGAGTGAGGTTAGGCTAATCAGCTTGTAGTTCCCGAAATCTTCTTCTTACCCTTCCTCAAAATTGATGTAATTATCTTTTTCTGGTCATCGGGAACCTCCCACAATCATCATGACTTTTCAATGATATAATAGCCTCGCATTGACATTAGTCTTCTCTCTCAGCACGCTCTAGAATTCATCCCTATAGTGCCACATATTTATGTATGTCCAACTGCCTTAAGCACACCCTAATTCTATTTTGCTCTATTGTGGGTAAAGCTGCACTCCCACAAACTCTGCTGCTAGACTTAGGGATTTGGGTAGCTTGAGAGCAAGTCTTACCAATTGAAGAGCATTATTAGATGTCCTTCAGTCCACAAGGACAGACCCTTGAATCCAGTCTTATTATGGATATATACATTATTTCCTTGCTTGACGTGTGACCTGGTACTTTAGAGTACCCAGCCTTCTCTTTGTCCCTCTCCTGGGACAACCCAAGGACAAACAAGCTTGAAACCTGTAGTAGGCACACAAATGAAGGAAGGGATGTGATGTCACACCCTGACCTGAGATAAACACTGAGAACTTGAGATCTTTAGGAGATGGCATGGAAGGTACTTGATGCGTATCACAGCCTGAACTGCAAGCCCAGAGAGAGAGGGAGGAAGAAGATGACAGCATTATGACAGGAACAGCTCACACCCTTAGCCACTGTTTCAGTGTATCTCTATAAACTGCTGTTATCCATCAAAAACACTTAGTCACTCATAATCTGAGTCTAATCTATCACCACTTCTCTGAATATCATTATTTACTCTTGAAAGTGAATTAAAATACACATGCTTCTTTTGGATGGACTTAAAAAATCATGTACCCATAGAGTGGTACAGTGGAACCGATGATCAAATTTGAGTCTTTTTGAAGTAGTGAATGTGCTCCATGAAGAAGAAACAGAGACACATGCTCCATTTCCAGAAAAAAAGATCCATAAATACTGCTAGGGCAAGAGACTCCTGAGAAAAGCTGTGCTATGGCACACAGCTACCTGTACAGCTATTTTTTACTTGCTACAGTTATTTATTCTCAGTCAAAAAGGTGTCATAACCATATAAGACTCTTAATTACCCAAAAGCACTGTGTGTCTATTGCATAAATCTATCATGATTTACTTTACCTATTGCTGTGCTATATTTTAACCTACCAAGGCCACTGGGAGATTTTTCTTTGACTCCACTGAAGTCTAGACTTCCCAGTCTTGTTTTTGGAGGAGAGACAGCAAACCTGTTGCAGCACACTATATATTTCTGTTCTCATCTGGTCCACTTAATCACACTCTGAGTTATTAAAAAATTTTTCTACTATAAACATTTCAAAATGCTGCAATAGTCAACTGAAGAAAATGTAACTTTGCAATTTATTTTGGAGACTAAATCCTGTATACACACCTGTGTGTGTGTACCTATACATATATATGTATTTATAGAATCATAGAATAATTAAGGTTGGAAAAGACCTCAAGGATCATCAAGTCCAACTGTCAACCCAACACCACCTAACCCACCGAACCATGTCCCTAAGCACCATATCTACACATTTCTTGAACATTTGTGTAAAAAAAATCCATTAAAAATCAAGCAAGAAAAACTAAATTTCTTCAATAGACAATACACAGAAAACACTATGTTTTATTAAGGTTTGCTGCCTCTATTTTTGCTACTTCTTTTTTTCAGGTCACTGACAGTATTCTCTTCAGTCACTCTATTTCTATTCTGCCTTTTCTTTCAGTGTACACTTGGATTCCTTCAGCAACTCTCAGAGCAGTACACCTATTCTGCTGACACTGCCCCCGTATCTTGAACAGTATCTGTCCATAATTCATAGTTTTGTATTGCCTGACCCACTGAAAAAAATCTGTTATTAGGACCAATATCAACAGAACGTATTTTACATGTGCAAAATGGCAATACAGACTAAAACATCAAACCACAATCTGTATCTGAACATAAAATTGTGAATGACACCAAGACATTATTTTTTTAAATCTATGTAGAATTTTATTCTACCTATAGATGACAACATAGGATGTTATCAAATATTTATACTTCAAGTGAAAGTAAAGCAAGAATCAAACTCTTCTAACATACATATCCAGCCCTTTCAACTCTTCATAGTTTGCTTTCCAATTTTGTCCTAATTGAACAGAAAAACATACTATGGGTTTGAACTATGTATGAATTAATAATGTAGTGAAGCTTTCTTACAGGACTTGGACTCCGGTGACGGTGGAGAAATGTTGGACACGGCAAGGTCACTCTTTGACTTTTTAGGCTTTTTTGCATTTACCTGCCAAGGTTTATCATAACTTCTAAAATCTCTCCTTGTTCCTTTATTTTCTGTTAAAAGAATCAAATCAGGCAATTATAACATTTGTAGGGTCATCTTTCAAAGACTTAATAAACAATTAATCCAGGAAAGACCTATCAGTCCAAAGCAAAGTCATCTGTTTTTGTTCTTCTATTTCTGATTTATGATAAATTGCATATATTTCTGACATTTCCTAAACATCAACATTTAGAAATTCATTAGTCTTATTTTTTGTTATGTAAAAGTTCTTAACCTCCGTGTATTCTTTTACATGTTCAACTATCTTAAAACTTTACATTTGATATTAAGTTGATTTCTCAAGCAACTAACAATTTGACTATCAGCAACTATCTGACATCTATTATAGTCTGAAGCAGATCATCAGTCAATTTTTAAATACAAAACTAACATTCTAGTAGTAGCTTGTACCAGAATATCAAAGTTAAAATTTTACTTTAAAATGAGGCAGATACTATTACAGATTTTTTTTTATGCTTCTGAAGATATACAGTCATAAATTATTCACACTGGAGTTCATAAAGTAGTAATAGCATCTTCTCATTAAGTATTGGAATGATGGGTTGTTAAAAATGTGTATTATTAAAGAAAATACCTCAATAGAGGCTAATCTCAGGCACAAATACACCACAGGTGGGAAAAGAAAAACAAAGTAAAGAGAAAGAGAAAGCAAAGAGGACAGCAGCGGAATCAAGGGACCTTTGCATGTACTTTCCTTCTCACTGAGCCTGGGATTGTTTCCACCCTGTAACTCTGCCCATACTTGCACGATATGTACATAGGCTGAGCTGATAGTCAAAATATATATGAAATTCAGTCTCTACTAGACAAACAGGATTTACTGTGCATGCTCAAAACCACAGAGTGGTACCTGTTCAGTAGGTACACCTGCATCCAGGAAATCCTGGATGAAAGTGTGGTAAGACTATACTGGAGACTAGCCCTTTCCAGCATACAGAACATACCTGATGTTTCAGTCTCCGCCCAAAGGGCAGCAGAGCCAGACAACGTTCTCTGAAGCTGACCACGGCTCCCCTGTTTGGACTGAAGATGATCAATTAGAAATGGGATTGGCTGGTCAGGTGTCTCTGTTATCAGCTTGGTCATCAACTCCTTTAGAAAATTAAAACAAAACAAAAAATTAGTGTGATATTGCACCTAAACTAATCTTGTATTTATCTAAAGTAAAGGAGCATTTATAAAGGAAAGGCCTGTTTTCAACTTTGAAGAAAACAGCTGGAAGCACTCATCTCCTCAAACTACTGCTAGCTTTGCCCTATGAAGTACTGGTTTATGAAGAGTTCGTGTCTAAAGTGTTCTTAGCCTATACAGTCACTTATCCACTGGAATTTACATTAAACAACCCAAGCCCCACTACCTGCTTAAATTTACCCAAAACAATCAGAATACTGTTCACTTAACCATTCAGAATAAGCACCTTTTCAGAGCAGCAACTAGCTCTTCTCTGACTCATATATCCAAATTTCTTCTCACTGGAAACTGGTGCATCAGGAAGGTTGGCGCATTTTTGATGTCACCCAGACATAGAACAATATGGTTAGAATATGCATTCATATCTCTGAACTCCAAGGTCTGATCAAACGGGCAGACATTTTTTAAAGCAAGTCCTCCAAAATATTATTGTATAGCCATGAGCAAATATTTTATTACATTGCTGTAGACATGGATACAAAACCAGTGTCAACAGGAAATGATCTCCCATGCCATGCATGGATACTGCCTAATCGCTGTTATACACACTGGCCTGGCAGGGCTACAGAAAGAGAAGAACTCTCCATATTGCTGCTGAGGTTCTTCCTGGCTCCCTACACAGAAAACACAGATTAGGAATTCAGAAAGAAGCTGTGTCTTTGTGCTGGGCATGTGCTATAAGACGAAATCAATTGCTAAAGTGGGAGGTGACCTTGAAATGCACATAGTTCCACAGAAAATCTGTGGCTGCCACTGTGAAACAAAAAAGCTCCATGAAAGCAAAAAATTCCAGGAATGTACAACAAAATTGGGAGGAAAAAAATGTCTACATTATGAAGAGCATTTATTCTCTCTTCATCTATCCCCAAGCATAAATCTTAGTATAACTACCAAACCCTTTGGTCTATCTCCACTTAATTTTTTCCACACATCATTTAACAATTAATTTTTCAAATACTATTACCATCAGTTAATTGTGTTGGAAAAAGATACTTAAGAGGGAGTATATCAAATAACAGTAAACATGAGTAACAGCATGCAGGATTATTAAGATACAGCAAATTATCTTTGTCCACTCTAAGACTTTCTTTTTATTCAAGCAGTGGTATAAACGATTAGGTATAAGCGAAAATGAGACAGAAACAAGATTTCCCTTTCAGAAAGAGAAATTTAACTTCAGAAAACAAAAAGGAGAAAACATTCCCAATCTCATGCCTTGTGAAGATATAGAATCACAGAATCAATAGAATCATAGAATGGTTAGTGTTGGAAAGTACCTTAGAGATCATAAAGTTCCAACCCCCCTGCCATGGGCAGGGACACCCTCCACTAGCCCAGGTTGCCCAAAGCCTCATCCAGCCTGGCCTTGAACCCCTCCAGGGCTGGGGCATCCACAGCTTCCCTGGGCAACCTGTTCCAGTGTCTCACCACCCTCACAGTAAAAAACTTCCTCCTAATATCCAATCTAAATCTACCCTCTTCCAGACTAAAGCCATTATCCCTCATCCTGTTGCTACATGCCCTTGTAAAATGTCCCTCCCCAGCTTTCCTGTAGGCCCACTTCAGGTACTGGAAGGCCACTAAAAGGTGATACGATTTTTGATAACTGTCTACATGGCCGGGGCGGGAGGGGGGGGGGGGGAAAGGGTCTTCAGTTTTGAAATTGAACTCCACAGGGAGAAATAAAGCTACCTACTAATCTTGAAAAATGGTAAAGCTATGTAGGGTAACTTCATCTAGACTGTCTCTCATCAAGGTAGGAGAAACCCTCTGATATATATATATCATACAGGAAAAATCCAGAAATTGGAGTAATTCATATTTTGGTTGCTTGGCAACACTCTAACAGTAAACCTTTATTTTTTTTCCCTGCCAAAATGCAGAATTAGTGACAAGTGAAAAGACGTAATCTTGTGCTTGTAATTGACCACAATAGCTGTAGGAATTCCACTGCGGAGGACTCTATTACCAAAGGAAAAGTGTCAGTCTGTATAGCTGACTTGTAATTTAAATAATTTCTCTGAATCATGGTTTGAAAATTATTTTTCTGTCTTAGATTAATACAAACAAGATGATGAGAACTGAGATACATGCACTGATACTATTATTTTTTTAAAGACATGCATGGATGATGATCTATTAATAATAAATTACAAAATTAATGTAGTATTAAAAAAGATAATACAGAGATGAAAAATTTTAGAATGTCTGCCTGTCATCATAAGACAAATGCTACTTGATTGTTGCCATTACTGACTTGCTAGTCACAGGAACAGTCTTTAATTAACAGAAACAGACCTAATAAAATAAAACTGATTATAGGATTCTTTACCTTATTCTGAGACATATCAATAAAACTAAAGAACATAATTGCACAAAGTAAAAAAAAAAAAAAAAAAAAGTGCTATTCCAAGGTGATGTGAAATTAGCTCCTATTCAAAAAGACCACTTTTTAATCTGCTGTTAACATATTGATAATAATGCTGGGGTGATATAGAGATATGTGCTGTCGCAAAGCATAATCAGTTCTTTTCTGTGGCAGCAAAAGAACTATAGATATAGGGTACTTTTATCTATCTGGAGTGACCAATGAGTTGTACCAATCCTGTACACCTAAAGCAAGAAAGAAATAACATTGCTGGAATCCTCATAAACAGAAAATAGTATTCAGTTCAAAAAAAACCCTACTTATTTGTGTAATAAGCCACAAACTGATTTGCCTCAAACACTTTCAGAGGTGCCATTATAAGTAAATACAACTTCAAGTCATCACAAAGGTGACTCAGATTACAAAACCTGCAATTTAAGGAAGACATAGCTCTTTACTACGAGTATTCCTTTGTAAACAGGGAGTAAAGATCTTAGGGATTTGCTTCTCAAGATGCTCCAAGCAAGGTGTGAGTGGTCTCCAACCAACCACAGCTGTATTCCCAAACTTTGCAGAATTTGTAAAGAACATCTCCACCCCAACCAGCGATAACAATAGCAGTGATAACAGCTTCAGACATATGCTCTCTGTAAATCCATGTTCACATGTAGGAGGTGTTATCTCCTTCCATATCCTCCTGCCACACACAGTCAGAGATCCCACAAGTAGGATCACAGCTGCATGATCCTCACTCCCTCACGCCCTCCTACCAAATTCTGCCACCCAGTCCATCAAGGGTCCTAACTCCATTCACCCAGCCCCCAACCCATGCTCTTCGAGTTCGTGCTTCGAGACTCTTGTCATGCCCAGCAAATTGGCAATTACAAGGAAATATGTTATCTGCCTGTGTTCAGTTGCTTGGTTATGCTATGTAGTGGAGGGGTGGGAGGGGTGAGAGAAACAACAACAACAAAAAATCGCCCAACAAAAAACCCAAAAAACTTCACACAGGCAGTAAGTGTACTTAGTGAGCACTCAGCTAATTTCTTTTTTTTTTTTTTAAGTAAAAACATACTTCACTGAAGGTGAAAAGATTGGGATTGGGTGATTACATATTGGGAATGCTTATTAGGGGAATTCTCATCTTAGCACCATTCCCTAGTAATATTACCTTAAACTTCTGATTAGATTATCCAAAGTTTATTCGATGCACTCAGCTGTTGCTCAGATGACATCTTAATAGACAGGAGGAATAACATACTACATGGTACTCTAAATACAGTCTTACAAGTTTGAAATGTTTCAAAAAAAGATTACAAAAGTGAAAGTATTAAATAATAAAGACAAAAATGTACAACAAATTACGAAAATAAAATTATTTTTTGGTTAGCAGCAGTCTGATCTGACTCACAGTATGCTAAGTAGGCAATGTTTCACAAGAAAAAGAAAAAGACCAACTAGTCTCAATGAAGCCACCTCTGCATTAACAGCAGAATGAAAATGGCACAAGATCACTGAAACTGAGATTTATTTCTTGATGAGAAAGAACAGATAAGTTTCAACTATGCATGAAAAGAGAAATGCAAGACACTAACATGTCTCTTAAAAATTAACTCTACTTTTTGCCTTTCTAGATCAAATTTCTAAGTTCTACTTTAAGTTTCTACTTCTCAATTTCACCTAATTCAAATAAGAAAAACAAAAGTTTTGTGTACCTTTGTATGTTCTTCCATGCACAGTATGCCTTATAACAACAAATAAAAGAAGTCATGTCAGATTGGGTCTCCATCCCACCAGAGGAACTGTTTACTACCCATAATCTCTCTCCTCCTATCTTCTCTCCATTGCTGTGTCTTCCTTTTACTCTGTCCTTTTGTCTTTTCTACCAGTGGGACTCCCCCAGTCTCTCCCTTCCAGCTGTGTAACAGTGGAAGAAGCCAGTTCAGATGTCAGTAGCTATTAATTCCCTGTGCACCCACGAGACACTGCAGCACAGAAAAGGGGTAAAAGAGAGCTTCCATTATTACTACACACTAGAGCACTAGGACAAATACTTTCGTTTCTGCTGCCTCCCCACTCTATTGCCCCAAATTAGGTTCTGCCCTGACCAGAATGAGAAAGAACGGGCAGAAAGGTAATATAAGCTCCAGAAGAACTGTCAGTTAACTCCTCCAAGGATCTTACCTTGCACTGTGCAAACCAGAAATGAAACCAGTTATTTCTACTTTCTTTTGTAATGGTATCTTCATATGCTTTTACATTCACTAGCTTTATTAAACTATATAAGACAGACTGTTTTAAAATAAACTTGCAAAAGTGGATCTGTGGATATTTCAAGAGATCCATGCATACAATGATAAGGCTGCAAAAGATCTTGAAAAAAAAGACAGGTCTAAACTAGCAACTTAATATATTAGTTCTTTACAAAGAGAGTAATTGTTCACTATTGTGCTGCCCTGAGGTCCTCTATTAGTTATTCAATGGAAGCTCAAATTTTAATTTCCTTGTGACTGTCCATGCATTTAATACAAAT